TAATAATAATAAATTTATTTATTATCTCTCTACACAAAGGATAATTTACAGAAATAAGATACAATAATCAAATGCAAACAATGTACTCCTTTGTGAGAGACTGGAGTCCATACTAGGATTCCCTGTGTGACGGATCTCCAGGCTCCCACCTCGGACCAGTTACAGATTACAGATATCCATCATAAATTCGCAGAAGGACAAACCCCTCGATGTAGCAGATATGAGAAATAAAAGAAAAATAAACAAACTCAGAGACATACTGCATACTTGTTACAAAACAAAGAGAAGGAGATTAAGTAAACAAAATTTAACATTTTCAAAATTGCATGTTGCGTGTGGAGTAGTGTGTGTAGTGTGATGCGTGTGAAGTGTGTGTGTGATGCGTGCATGAAGTGTGTAGGTGAGGTAAGTGAGATAAGGGAGAAATCGTATACAAATAGAGGTTATTACGGTCTGAGTCTGGAAATACATTTTTATATTGAGTATGTAATATATGTATATTTTTCCCTTTTCTATATTAAGACGGTGTACTTAGTAACAGCTCCGTCGTGTTGTAGTCTAGCTTCTGTAACCACTTTGAAATTTTGATTTTACATTGGGTTTTAGGTAAAGAATAGATCGATAGAATTTCATTTATCTTATTATACAAATGGTTCCCGAGAAAACAATAATTACGATGTGAGAAGGCAGTGTGGAATTTAGTAGTCGGGCATACGTTGTGCTTGCGTCGTCGATTTTCAAACATGCTTGGATTAAAGGTAGTTTGGGAATGTTTACGAAGAATAACATTCAGCACGTATAGTTGGCGAACGGTTAGTACACCAACACGCTCATAAAGTTCCTTGGTTGGAAATAAGAATGGTAAGGAATTACCGACCTTGAGAACCGCTCTTTGCGCGCGTTCCACCCGTAGCATTGCCGTTTTTGCTGTTCCGCCCCACACGGTTATGCAATAAGAGAGAAGAGACTGGCACAAAGCAAAATATATTGTCTTCATTATACTGGCGTCAACCACATGTCGAAGATTTTTGAATACATACATCAATTTACGAACTCTACTGGAGAGAGCATCAATGTGTAAATGAAAGTTTAGAGTGCTGTCTAGTGTAACTCCCAGATACTTAATGGATTCCGTTCGTGATAGTTCGGGGCACAAGCAACAACCGTTCCCAGTAGATCTGCATTTGGGGGAATGGGCAACGATCTTGTAACCACCCAGGGAGCCAGAAGGTCGTTTTAAGAAAAACGGAATATATTTAGTCTTGTCAACATTAAGGGCAAGCTTATTGTTAGCCAACCAAGCCAGCACCCTATTAAGGCCCTTTTGCGCGCATTCATAAACCTCGGACCAGGAATCCGCCTCAAACAGTAGCGCAGTGTCATCAGCGAAGGTTACAATTCTCCCATTAGGCAGCTCCAGCTCACAGAGATCGTTAATGTAGGTCAGAAATAATGAAGGACCAAGTATACTACCCTGTGGCACACCATGAATCACAGGCAGATCGCTGCTAGTCCATTCGTTTATCCTAACTCTCTGCAATCTGTTTGTGAGGTAGTCGGAGAACAACTCAAGCTGAACGTCCCTGACGCCAATACCCTCCAATTTACTGATTAATAGTGGGACGGAGACTGTGTCGAAAGCCTTGGCAAGGTCCATGAAAGTGACAATCACTTTCTTGTTTGTATCAAGATTATCTATAATAAATTGAGTCAAATCATGAACAGCGTCACTAGTTGACACACCAGATCGAAAACCATATTGAGAAGGAGATAGGAGCTTCCTTTTCTCCAGGTAATCAACCAGGCGCCTCTTCATGATCCTCTCCAGTATTTTGGACAGAGCTGGAAGGATTGAAATTGGCCTATAGTTGTTGACACAGGCTCCGTCCCCACTTTTGAAAATAGGTCGTATTTCTGCTATTTTCCAGGCATCAGGAAACCTGCCTGTATCAATAGCAAGATTACAGAGGAAGGTAATAGGAGAAGCGATCTCGCGGCAATATCTTTTTAGGAAGTTAGTAGGGATGTTATCGTAGCCAACAGCGCAATTGGACTTTAAGCTGAGTATAATGCTGCGCACCTCTTCCATATCAGTAGATAGAAATACCATCGAATGGGAATGGCTGGGCTGGGTGGGTTTACTAGAAAGTGTGGTGATGTCAATACGGGTAGAATGGTTGTCTGCGATGTTTTTACCGATGCTAGCAAAAAAATTGTTTATATTATTGACAGAGGAAATAGGATCCTGCGGGTTAATCAATTGAACAGCTTCGGAGTTAGTTTTATTTGTGCATGTGATATCTTTTATTTTAGTCCACAATTCTTTGTTACTAGTTTTAGATGCTGTAAGTAGCTCAGTTTTATCATAATCTTTTTTTATTTTCTTTAATAAGTCGTTACAAAAATTTCTATACCTTTTATAGACTATTAGTGCAGTGAGGTCATTTGGATACTTTTTAGCCTTTTGGTGTAGTCTGTCGCGGTTTCTCACACAGCGTAATAGCCCGGTCGTGATCCAAGGTTTTGTAATCCTTTTCCGATTTGAGACTTTAATAATTTGAGTGCTGGATTGGATAAAACAGCCAATAGTATCAACAAAGTACTGAACAGCCAGATTTACATCCGTCATTGCATATAGTTTATCAAACTTTTCATTTGACATCATATAATCAAGGTTTTCATAGTTAAGACGTTTGATTAATTTAATTGTTTTCTTGTTACGTGTGCCTGTGTTTAAGACAAGGACAGTTGCATCGTGGTCAGTAATAGACGCCTCAACCACGTAACAAAAGGCCGGAAGACGAGTTTTTAATAGAATATGATCTAAGCAAGTTTTCTTATGTGTAGGGAAGGTGTAAGCCGGTAGTATTCCATGGGATGCAAGAAGGTTGAGGTAGTGGGCCGAGTTTGGATCTATGCAGGACTCGGTTATGTCAATATTGAGATCCCCTATAATAATTAAGTTTTTTATATTGGAGGTGGAGGTTAAAAAGTTATCGAGAGAGGTAAAGAAATTAAGCAGGTTTTTATAGCCTGCTGGTCGGTAGACAGCTAATATGGCTGTATTTTTGTTAATATTAATTAGCAAACAGTTACTGTCAGATATATTGGGTTCCTCTATAGATACAGGTATATTGCATTTGGAGTAAACAACAACCCCCTCGTTTTGAGTTATCGTATTATTAGTTTGATAGTTATTATAACCTTCCATCCTTGGAATATGACGAGTGCCAGGCAACCAACATTCCGTCAGCACAATGAGATCCCAGTCAATACGAGATCTTTGCAATAATGTATACAAGCTTGGTAAGTTACGATTTATACTTCTAATATTCTGATGAATGACCTTCAATGACAGTTCAGGGTTAGTTACAAAATCAAAACAATCCTCAATATTACAATTAGTTATTTACAAGTGTGATTATTGCTTGTTTGAATCGTTAAATGAAATTTAAAATTTAAGGTAGACTATTAAAGGGAGCTTTATTTAAATATTTTAATGCACATAGAATTGGGTGATGTGTACCTAACCATTGAGATTTGTTCACAAAATGTACATGTTGATTGAAAGCTTGATATTTTACTGTCATGGTACCTATTAAATATATGGTTTGAAAACATGTAAATGTTTTATTTTCTTTCCTTCTCCATTAAAAATAAAATATTAGGGGTTTTTTTAAGGGTTTTTCCTTCTCTTGCGCTTCGAGCCGGAGCCCCGGTAAACCTGTTAGGTTCTCCGCGACCCACATTTTATAGGATAAACTAAAAAAAAATATGTGTCTAATTAAATTTTATTTCATTACCTAATTGACGACTCTTTAGTTTTAAATTTTTCATACACTGTCGACTACCCTATTCGCTAGAGAGGATCCAGTATTGTGTTAATGCAAAAAAAGGAATTTCTTGATTTCTATCGTGTTGGATGTCCTCACGGACTTCCCACGTCTTGGAGACGACGGAGGGGCGTGCCGGACTCTTATTGGCTAAAACCACCATATTCCTGCACTGCCTGTGACCCAGACCCGGGGCGAGTTGCCCTTATGAAATCACCGATATCTCAATCATATAAATAAAACACGCATGAGGCCCAATTACCCTCCGGGTCCCCAATCATCCTCAAACTTCTAAACCCCAAAAGGCCGGTAACTCACTTGTAACTCCTCTGGTGTTCCAGGTGTCCATGGGCGACGCCGATTGCTTACCATCAGGTGATCCTTCTGCTCGTTTACCTTTTTTGTAAAAAAAAAATGTAATATAGGTAACACTAAAAATAAAACAACAAAATCCCATTTTAAAATAGTATAATAAATATTTTACAATCTATCCACATTTTCTAGAAAAATCTAACCTACGGAAGAAATATATCTATAATATAGTTAAAACAACGACAATATCCAACTAACTGAGATTATATAAAACTAGATATTATGCTTTACAGTACCAACAACCTATATAACAACCGCTGCCATTTCCAACGTAACATAGGCGTAACAGGGATCAAGATACACTGGTCTATCCTAAAACACTAATTTCACATGGACATTAACATATATATAAGTTAATTAACTTGGGAGCAAAGACACAGAGCCACTAGAGTTTTTTCTTTCTCACATAACATAACATCACGCCTTTTATCCCCCAGAGGGGTAGGCAGAGGTGCACATTACACCATTTATTGCCACTGTACAAAGTAACATTTTAACTATTTATGTTATGAGTCCCATGAAATAGGGGGTGAGTCTATTGCCATATACCGAGCACAATTCCAGACTCCTTGCTACCACTGAGAATTAAAAAAAACCCAGTAATTGGTAACGTATGTAGTGTAAAAAGGCAATTTAGTTACATTTAAAATGAGAGCATTTTTTTGTAAAAAGAACAATCTTATTAAACTTATAAAGGGCTTGATAAAATGAAAAAAAAAAAAACATTAGTGACTCCATTGTTTTGCTCCTTAGAATATATTACTTTGTCTTGTATTACGTCCAGAAACTTCAGTTTTATGTACTCACTATTATTGAATCTTGATAATAATTGACTTGGAAATTTATTCCTTAAGATGATTTTGCTACGCCTATATATGTATATGGCAGACTATATATCTAAAAAAGATTTAAGTAACTCATAAAACCATATTAATGGAAGTAGGTGTACGTAAGTTTTATTTATTATGATACGATAACAACAAATAATAATTTGGCAAAACGAAATCCAACGTTTCGTTCTTGTTCTTAAAATAAACGATATAATAAGTTAATACGCGATTGTATGTTAATTTTACTGCATTTATATTATAATTTTGGTTTTCAAAATAATCGAGTTTGTGAGCTTGACGTTCGTTTGAAGTCATCGCAGTATACCAATTAGGAAAGGTATTGACTTATTATAACGTTTAATTTCAATAAGACAACAATTATTCGATTTTTATAGAACATGAACAAAACGCAGATTTGTATATATTAAGGTGCGGTTACACGACGCGTAATAGCGTGTTTTAGCTCAGATCGATGCGACTAGGCAGTCTCTTCTATTTGGCATCCACGCTCTGTGACGTAAGGCTCAATTTACATTGGCGTGCACGTAACAAACAGTTTTATACAAAAAAAGGTAAAATAATAATTGTTGTAATCTCCTGTAAGACTATTGTCATTGTAATTTGAATATTATCTACAGAATTCTTTTACAAACGACGTTTAAGTACCCGACTTCAATCCCCCTCTTTTTTAGAGTCGTTTAATTACTATACTAAAACCTTCTAAGTATGACAAACACTTTTCTAAAAACCGCATCAAAATCAGTTCAGCCAATTGCGAGATAATCGCGCACAAACATTATACATACAACCATACAAGTCGAACCTAAGAAACTCCTTTTTTAAAGTCGGTTAAAAATATAAGCGGCTCATGTAAATTTTGTCTATCTTCTTACGACCATTTTTTATAACCTATCTGTCTGTAGATTTGCTTATTGAGATAGAATTTGGACACATTTTGTATGCATATTCTTCTTCTAGTACATGTATGTATGCATACTTCTAAAGCAATAATCTCAGGTAGGAAAAGGAGTCAAAACTATTAGGTGCACCGTAATCTGACATTGAGCAAAGACAAAATATAATTATTTCGCTACGAAGAGAGCGTGGCTTGCTACTATCACATAATCACGCGTCGTGTAACTGCATTAACATTACTAAACTATACTCTATTCGCATTAAGATTAGACATGTAAAGAAACCTTTTTTCTATCTCTCCAATCGATTTCAACTTGTATTCTGTAGGCATAAAGTTGGCATTAAAAGTAAAACAAGTTACAAAACAAGCTATTTGGGTGATTCTCCAAAAAAAAACCAAAAAATTAACGGTGTCATTATCCTTAAGCCACAGTTAACAATTCTGCTGATTAAAATTGAAAGTTTAGTTTCAAAAAATTGAGCCATGTCACTGCTCTCAACCAATGCAATAAAATACAGCTAATAAGTTACCGCGATGCTTAACAACGCGGGAGGATAATGATTTGTTAAATAAAAGTTAAAGTTTTTTGAAGAAACACCCATTTACTGCAGTCGCCATTCGTCATTCCACCAACGAAATAAAAGTCAAAATCCGCTGAATGGACAGTAAAAAACATTTTTCTCATGTGTAATGTTATTTTGAACGGAGTATAGACAACTAAACAACTATGTCCTCCACAGATTACGTTCATAGAGGTTTCCTAGCCTTCACCAGCTCTTCGCTGACATTCCACAACTTGGTCTCCACGTCCTTATCGAAGTTGTATTTAGAGTTGTATATAGCACAGTCGCGGTAGAACTTACCTGTTTTACCTTCGATGCTGTGGTCTGTGGCGCAGAAGACTACTGTTTCTGAACCCTGGAAAATAAATAGAATTGATCAGATATACACAAAACGTAAGTTACGCTGAACAGTAATTTTTGTACGAAATGGTAGCGCTCTTTTTTACAGAGGATCTGATGCCATCTAACTAATGGTAACTACGAAATGTTATTAACTGTTCAATCCCCTAGCGGTCTTCGGTGATCGCTCTCCACTAACTTCATTATAGACCTTATTACCGATGTTTAGAGACTACTTTTGTATGAACATATTTTGGGGCAACGTATTAATAAGTTTTCATAACATAACATCACGCCTTTTATCCCTTCGGGGATAGTAGGCAGAGGTGTACATTATGCCACTGTACAATGTTGCACCAGCTTTTCACTATTTATGTTATGAGTCCCATGTAATAGGAGGTGAGCCTATTGCCATATACCGGGCACAATTCCAGACTCCGTGCTACTACTGAGAATTTATAAAAACTCAGTAGTACTTTGCCCGACCCGGGAATCGAACTCGAGACTCCTTGCCCGGCAGTCGTACTTGCGACCACTCGGCCAACAAGGCAGTCTAGTTTAGGCAGTAATAAGTTTTCTTACTTGAATAGTACTTACTTGTTTAGCAGTCTTCATGAAAGCAATCAATATAGGCGCCATAAATATGTAGTGGTACCATTTTATTGAATACCTGAAATGTAGATGTAAGCATTCATGAAATATTGACCAAGTTTAGGTGTTATTTCCAAATTCAAAGTACTTTGTAAACCATTTCAAAGCTTACCTAAACAGATTGGTAGCACAGAATCCAGGGCAGACCAGGTTGACATCAATGCCAGTGTTCCTCAAGTTGCACGCCAACGCCCTCGCGAAGTAAGCATTCATCAGCTTCGAGTTGCTGTAACCAGGATTGTGACGAGAACCGCCTCCGGTTTTCTTTGCCAGTTCAACTTCCTTCCTTATGTTGAGGTCGTCAAAGTTGATATTTCCACGTTCGTGCAGCGTTGAAGACACGACTACTATTCTGTAATGAGAATATAATCGTATATTTGTTATTCGGTTTATAAACATAAAGTACGCAAGGTGGACGCGGCATTGATAAGATTAAACTCAGAAGGTCAAGATCATAATTAGTTAGCAGAACATTATCAATATTAATTTTCGATTTGATGGCATAGTGACATAGGTAATTAAAATATTTGTATAAGATATTCGTTCGGTTTCCTTATTCACTGCAACTGGTGGCATAAAAGTGAACTATACCTATACCGACTATATTATGACATACACACTGAACTAAGAACTTTGATAATAATTAGTGACACGAAGTTCATAATTTCGCAAACGACTAACCCCGGCAGCACAATCTGCATGCGTGTGCGCCGTAGGGGTGAGAGTGCTAGTGAGCTGAGTGTTACTTATTGGAATTTTAGGGAATTGGTTATAATAATATCAATTTATTCATCAAATCTCTTATGAGAATATAGAGTATGAGGTTTTATTTTGTATGTACGTATGTTTATTAAAATAATAATATTGTTTACTGTTGCATAATGATAAGTATGTAGTTACGTTTTTAGAAATAAGATGTCTTCCTACAAAAGTAATGTATAGAGCTCCTTTTGCCTGCGATACAGGATTGTCCTAGTGCAGGCATCTAACTTTATGAGATCAATTTTACTTACTTGAAACATATTTTGTATTTTGCATTTTTGAATTATGAATAAAATTTTATTTTATTTATTTATTTTATTTTAAATTAGTAATAATATAACGTGTTTGAGTTTGTGTGTATTGAGCCGCGTTATAAAGATGGCGGCGTGCAATACAGCGTAGTTCGTACTTACGAATTTCCGTAATTTACATAAAAATGAAAAATAATTACCTACAATTTTTTTATTGATTCGGTCTTAAAATCGATAGCCGAGTTACATCCTTGAAGTTTTTTTCAAAACTACACCTTGTATATGTTCTTCTTTCATTATGATTGAAAGGAAATAAATTATAACTAATGCAATGTATTCATTTAGTCAAACACGATTTACTTTTACGTGCCCTAGTTTAGTAGACTAACATGATTTAGTTTTAGTAGGGCATAGATAAAGTGACAGACACGGAAACACAGACAGAACGGGGCTGAATAAAATAATATGTTTAACTTTTTTATGTTACCCAACTTACACTTAAATACTCTTGTCAAACGCTATTCAATTTTAAGTCGCGCTTAAGTACCTACTATACTGTTTCTGTCACTTGAAATTCTTTGTAAAATGACAGAGAAGGCACGATTTTCAAGTACATCTTAAAATTCAGTAGCCTTTCAGTATTCGGGCGTTAAATACTCTGCTATGTAGGTAAGTATTGTAAATGAATATTCAAATTAACAATATTAAATAAGATTATTCTTAAATAACGACTTTAACAACGAATTTACATGTAACGGTTAGGCAAATAGATAACTAAAATAGAAGTTAGACATAATTAGAAACTTGAATACTAATCATGTGATTGTTAACAAAAAATCTCATTACCTATTTCATTACAAATACTTATTAAAATCCTCCAATTAGTTATATCTAAATTAAGTAAACATAGTTATATCTATTTACGTACAATTTACGTAAAGAAAACCTCCGCAATTTCCAGTTTGTTACTGACGTAGTAGTTCATTGACTTCAGTTACAGTTATTTATATTATTTATCTATTCCCGAGCAGATACTATGAAAGTATTAGAGATATTTAACTCATGCGCATCTGTTGGGCAGTTGTTTATGTACTGGGGGCCACCTGGCCACTGTATTAGACGAACCAAAAGGACAACTACGAATAATAATATTTTGAGATAACATAACTTCATGCCTGTCTGCCGCGGGGGTAGGCAGAGACTGGGACGCCAATACCTCTTTCGCTTCATCAACAGTCATCAATCTTTTCTAGCATGCTCGTTGATTAAGACTACTTTAATTACTACTTACTTATCCGGATAATTTGTAATTCGGATCTGAAAACCGTACAATTATTTCTTTGTTTTCCAATTTTGTTGTTTACCTATTGAATTTTATTTAATTGCAATTACGTACGAATTTTTTATCATGTTACCTAATGTAGGAAAACAAGTAGCGGTGATGATGATAAGAAAATCTATTCAGTGTTGTTCTGATTTTATGTTTACTTATCAAGAATGTGTAATGACATTTTGACCTCTGCTCTCTTTTGTTTGGGTATAGGTAATTATGTTACCATAAAATGCAAGTATTAATAAAAAGACTACAGTAGACTTGCGACGGTTTCACTACCCCCATATAACCTGATAAACTTAATTATGTAACAGATAGTTCATACAAATTACGTTCTTAATTCAAATTATGTGGTAGATAACGTGTATCCAGATATTTTGAAACTGTCCCTTATTGTCGTGGTGGAGGTATAAGACTCCCGCTTCTCAGTTCTCATGCATGAGGGCGCATGTTTAAAACCTACCAATGACAAGTACCAATGTGACTTTTCTGAGTTATGTTTATGTAGGTACTTTCTAAAATTATTTAGACACCACTGTCAAACGGTGATGGAAAACATCGTGAGGAAACCTGGGCCTATAATTTATAATTATAAGTTTGAAATCGCCAGCCTGCATTGAGCAAGCGTGGTGATTAAATGTTCAAACCTTCTCCTTGCGAGAAGAGGCCTTTGGTTTAGCAGTGACCACTTAATGGCTGTTGATGTTGATAATGAAGATTCTTATTAATACTTGGATTTTTAATTACTGGATAGGGATACTATATCAGGCAAGCAAAGGATTAGTACGGCAAGGCCCTTAAAAGGTCGACTTGTTTTTTTACAGCAGTGGATGATTTTTAAATCTTAAGTACACATGCATGGTACCAAATGCCTTATTAGATCAAGTTGGACTACTGAATAATATATTTTTATTACGACCCTGCGGGGTTATTATGACGTCCTAGTCAGAATGGTTCCATTGAGGGAAAGAAACAGAGCTATACAAGTCGTCTAGCGAGATCTCGTTCCCTCAGCGAAACCACTGAGACGAGAGAACTTGTTTGTTTATTTATTATCAAGCAACGAGTATTGTGGGCTATCTAATGAGTTTCTGTTGCCTCTGTTCGTTACACGATGATTGATAACATACAAGAGGCGTAGGTATAATATCGTATTTCAAACAGAATTATTTATGTATCAGAAAAACAACAAGGCGTTAAGTTTCCGGATCGATTTACATTCGCAAAGCTAATTATATCTAGGCATTAGGTAATTTTGCAAAATATGTGTTATTAACTGCCTTGTTGGCCGAGTGGTGGCAAGTGCGGTTGCCGGGCAAGGCGTCTCGGGTTCGATTCCCGGGTAGGGCAAAGTATTGCTGGTTTTATTTTTATTTTTAGTAGTAGCTCCGAGTCTGGAATTGTGTCCGATTACATGGGACTCATAATATAAATGGTGAAAAGTGGGTGTTACATTGTAGATTGGCATTAAATGACGCAATGTGATGTGCATCTCTGCCTACCCTTTCTGGGATAAAAGGCGGGATGTTATTGTCATATGCATCAGAACATTATTTTTGTTACTTATATGTAATTTAACTCGTCGAGTACCGGTTTTGTAGACACAATTATAGAACAATAGGTTGCGGTCACCGGTGACCGCTTGGTGTTTGACAGTTTAAGTTCTTTTTGCAATAGACTTGTCTATTATTGCAATTGTCTATATGACGATAGTGCAAACAAACATTTAAATTAAACATCATGACTAGTGAATACAAATTAAATGCATGCGCAACTCGTAATCAATATAATTAATTCATGCATTGTAATTATTATAGATTCATTATAGAGCAATACGGATACGGATAGACAATAAACAAGAAGATGAAATAGCTTATAACTATTTGAGGCACGTAAGACTCGGATTTAAACCTATAATTAGGGCATTCCGTAGCATTTTTTTTTAAAGGGGGAAAATCATCGAATGACTGCTCCCGCCTGGGTGAGGCGGGAGGAAGTGTCAGACTCTTACTGACTAAAAACCACCCCGTTCCTTCTCCTGCACGCCGAGCCGGAGCCCCGATTACCCGTTAGGTTCTCCGCGACTCCGAATCGGCATCGGCCCTATTGGGCCCCATCTGTGGTGGTCTGATGGCTCTTTGAGGCGCGCGCGGAACGCGACGCCCCGTACGCTCGGGTCTGTTTCTGGTCGGACGGGGAGCCACCCATGCTCGCCGTCCGCAGTCCCGCGCTTACGGTGGCCGATCGTCCCGTGATCCCCGACGCCCGATGTGTCCTTCACGATGGCTGGGTTGCGAGGAGGCAGCGCCTCGCTGCCTCACGCGTCCCGCCTCCTCCTTAGCTAGCATGACTGCTTCGCAAAAGGAGGAGACGGCATCCCAGTCCCATTCCGTAGCAGTAGCAGCGCGACAGTCGCCGCGTCGCGGGTTGCGGAATGCTGCTCATGAATAAGAGCCTCTAGTATGGCTTAAAACTAGTCGAGATCCTCGTCGCACAGTTACGTGAATAAGCCGAAAACATAATAATTAATTTCCTGTCTCACGAAAGTTTTTATATTAACTCTATCATGTAAAGAAATATGTAATTTATCATGTAAAGAAAAAACAATTCAATTCAATTGTGCATTAGACAAAGCGTGAAGCCAGTTCATATTAGAAATGTTACCTAACTACCTACTATTGGTCTATTAGGGTTACGCATCCGAAAGAGCTACACGTTACACGTGCGTTTCATAACTATCCCTGACCTAATTACGATTATGGCAGCTAAATCCAAGGAGAACAGCCAAATACGCAGGAGATATAGTAGCGCAAACATAGTAGCAAAACATACTTATTAATTTAAACAGTATCAAATTCTATTTTCAATTGGTTTCCGATTTAATACAGACGGTTTCTTCCATAGAAAGTAGTGTTCTAAAAATAATCTTATTTTATGTATACGCAATAGGTTTTTTTTAAGGGCGGAAAATCATCGAATGGCTGCTCCAGGGAGTGTCAGACTCTTACTGACTAAAAACCACCCCGTTCCTTCTCCTGCACGTCGAGCCGAAGCCCCGGTAACCCGTTAGGTTCTCCGCGACATACGCAATAGGGTAGATGCCTGATTTTTATGTCCGTTTGGTAGATTATTTTAAAACATTAGACACATATTTTTATTTTTACAGAAACGAATACTTTCGACGATATATGGATTTGAAATGTCGCGTGACGTCACTTCTACGTACATTTTATACGTAGAAATGTATGTAACAATGTAACGTTGCCCCCACTCCTAAACTTTGATTGTGCGATGATGCGTTTATTCTAAGTATAATTAGTAAATATTATACTTAGATAAAACGCATCATCGCATTCTAATAAATACGACAAAATAAAAAAATACGTGTCTAATATTTTTTTCATTACCTAACTTACGGACTAATTAGATTTTTAATTTTCATATCCTATCATGATAAAAGAGGCAGTAATTGTAAAGTGTGTTAATATCTATATTTCAGTGATTATTATTATAATAATTATGTGTTAAGCTAACATAGTAAACAGATTTGTTTATCTAAAAAAACTATTGTATAGGAATTCATAGATTAGGGAGCTAATTAGGTGATTATGTTTTAATTCCAAATAGTTTCTATTTATTTAATCTATTAAATTATTGCTAACACATGAACAGATTACACAATTTTAAAACTACGAGTTGCCTACTTCAAAACGTTGTTTTTTTATTAGATGGGCCGACGTTTGTCTCTCTGTCCTCTATCTCGCCGGTTTGTAAGCGATGATGCGGTCTACGATGGAGCACTTAGACCCATAACGTAAATTATTTCAACAAATAGAGAAGGAAAAGGTGCTAAAAAGTACCTAATTTATAATAATGAGGTTGCAACATACCTGCTTGGTGTAGCCCTCTTTAGAAGATCCATTAGTAAGTTCGTAAGATAGAAATGGCCCAAATGATTCACGCCGAAGTGGATTTCAAAACCTTCCTTAGTTTTAAGGTCCTGGTTCAATGGTACCACAACGCCAGCGTTGTTGATAAGTACATCAATCTTGTGGAACCCTGCCTTTACAACTTCTACAAAGTTCTCTATAGACTCAAATGATGATAGATCTAGTTGCATGGGGATCTGAAAAAAAAAATTGGTAGGTAAGAATTCATAAGATTAATTAACAATAGATTTATTAGACAAAGAACGAAAATTTTTTTATATCAAAAACTAATGTTTAATAATATTACATCATCCTATTAGGTGGGACATTCCCAAAACAAATATCTGTTGTTTGGTGTAATATAGGTAATACAATACCTAGCTAGGTATATTTATATTTTTTTATTTTATTTTCAGTCATGATCATCCTACCCTCCTTCCACTCCTCTCTATGTAAAGCTTTTTGCGGCCAATTCTTGTCATAGATGTCTAATTTGTCCCTCCATCTTCTTTTGGGCCTGCCACGACGTCTACTGACATTGAGTAGGCTTCAACCAGTAGTAAGTTTTGCCCACTGCTCATCTGACAAGAAGCAGACATGACCAGTCCAGTTCCACTTCAAGCCTGCGTTTTATGGCCAACATCAACGCTTTTAGTTGTGACCGTAGCGTATGAACAAATTTTCGGTATGATATATCAAAGTATTAAATAAAGATCTTGATCTAAAGATTTTGTATGATAATTGGTTTTTAACAATAGGGTCCCATTCTTATCCTTTGGAAAAAACTCCCTAATAAAATATATATAGTGTGAATATTACACCCACAACATACATTAACCTCTTATCTGCCCGGCAGACTATATATGACACAAAATAGAAAACACATTATGTCTCATGTATATCTACGTTCCAGCATACCAGGGGTTAATTGTTAAAAGATGGTATATCTATTTATATTGTTTACTAGCTGCCCGGCAAACTTCGTAGCGCCTAAAAGATTTTTCTCACTTTTTAATCCTTCCCTAGACTTCCACAAACCTATCCAGACCAAAATTAGCACAATCAGTTCAGCCATTCTCGAGTTTTAGCGAGACTAACGAACAGAAATTCATTTTTATTTATATAGATATAACAAGCTGATAACCTGTTGAAATGCTAACAATTAAATACATTTCCTCTGTACAGTTTATTATAACAAATATTAATAAATAGTTTCATTAGTTAAAACTCGTTTTTAGTCAATTATTGTGTGATTGATAATTTGTTTCATTTCCAATTCCACCTAATCATTGTGATTTGGTGCTTTGTTTTTTATATTTCTTTGATTTTTTTTTATTGTCATGGTGACTTAGGTTTTCTTATCACATTTACCTTAGTGATGATGAAATCCATTCTTATAAAGTACAAGAATCAATAAAATCAAAAATTCTATTTTTGGACAATTCAATTTAGCTATCTAATATGGTAGATTTTAGGCCAGGGTCAGAGCACCTAGCTTAAGTGGCTGCATGAATTTGTAGGATATGAGAAGTATAACTAGTAATTAAATTAATGAGGTGCCCTAGTTTCTGTCTACCCTCATAAGATAAAACATAAAATGCATCATATTTTAATATTCTTCATATAAATCTATACACAAAATTGCTATTGTATTGAATACCAACTTTTCCACTAACTAACAACATGTTCATTGAAATCTTATCATTTTGTATGATGCAACAAGTTATCAACAAACATTTCATCTGAACACTTGATCATCTAATCTCAAGAGATTATCATTACTAGTGGCTGACAAAATTTTTGCAGAGCAATGAAATACACATTCATGATTTTAGATCACAAATCGCGGAACTTTTCGCAGCACTATTTTAAAATGATGTCAGCTAATAAAAATAGAATACGGATTCAATTTGAATAAAAAGAAAAAAAGAATTGAAATTTAAATAATGCTCATTTTTTCACTCACCATTTCCCCGCCAAGTGGTTGTTCTTTGCGGATAAGAGCGATGGCCTCCTTGGCTTTACCTATGTCCCTGCACGCGAATATCACTCTGCCCTTCCTCCTAACCAAGGCCTTGGCAGTTTCATACCCTATGCCACTGTTGGCTCCTGTTATAAGGAAGGTTTTCCCTCTCAAACATGTATTGCTCACACAGCTAGCCCATTTCCTGGACCTCCACTTGCGAAGCAAACCCAGCGCAACAATAACTGAGATTGGCACCGCCGCAACGTAAACCACAGTTGACGGCACCATGCTTACGAATAATTAACTACAGAAAAACACAATAAATTCCCGATAATTCACTTGAAAGCGTTACAAAATTACAGCACAACTTTTCAGCCGTCCGTATCCGTATTTTGCACGAATTCAAATGTCAGTTAATGTCATAATAATGTCACTCGGTCAAAGGTCAAAAACTTTATTCGTTCAGAAATATTACCAAGTACATAATGATATTCTCGGTGGTATAGCTGAGGAATAAAATACAGAAATACAATTTAATTGCATATTAAAAGAACTACGACGTAATTTAAACTTATAGAAGGTGAATGATTGAATAAAAACATGATTTATAACAAATAAATTGAATAATAAAGGGGACAATCTGCATTTACATGACTTAGTGGGAATGTCGAGAATATCAAGCGACATAAATTACCTATTAAACTGGCGCCAATTCGAGCGCGCCAAAATTTAAATCAAGCTAAAATTAGATTTTTATTTGGATTAAATCATTGAATTGATCAAATAAATTTGAAAGTGAATAAATGTAAAACTTGTGAAATGTGATATTGAAAACACTTTCTTACAAATAAGTGAGTACCTACTATTCTTAAAAATGTATCGTTAAACTTTGATGGTATATTACTTTTAATCATTTATTTATAACTTGAAATTAAAATGACCGCCTCGTTGGCCGAGTGGTCGCAAGTGCGTCTGCCGGTCAAGGGGTCTCGGGTTCGATTCTCGGGTCGGGCAAATTATTACTGGGTTTTAAAAAAATCTCAGTGGTAGCACAGACTCTAAAATTGTGCCCTGTATATGACAATAGGCTTCACCACCTATTACATGGGACTCATAACATAAAATAGTGAAAAGTGGGTGTTCATTGGTACAGTGGCATTAAATGCCGTAATATGCACTTCTGCCTACCCCTTCGGGGATAATGGGCGTGATGTTATGTTATGTTGAAATTAAAAAGGAATTTTATGCTAAAAATTCAAGTGGAAAGTAAATTGGTACGTACCTAACTGAACTGTTATAAACATGTAACCGACCTTAGGAAATCATCTCTCATTTTATGGGACCCAGAAGGATGATGGGAACCGTGGAAACGATGCAGGGCTGTTATAACTTGCTAATAGTTTGTGATACGAAACATCCACAAAATTTAGTATCAGTTACCTACTTCGGTAGTTGAATGTACTATATAAAAATAAGTCGGGTTTTCCTTCCTGACGCTATAACTCCAGAACGCACGAACCGATTTCCACGGTTTTGCATTCGTTTCAAAGGTCTCGGGCACCGTGAGGTTTATTATATTTTATAAAACAAAAAAAAATATTTTCATCTTTTAATCACCAAATAAAATGTTACATAAAACGAAGCATCTGGTGGCGAAACGGAGTTCGCCGGTTTTCGAACTTCCAATACTGCTTGTTTAGGAAGACGGGAGAGAAATACATGATATAAATGAAATAAAACAAATTTTAATAGCTGGGCCGTTTATTTGAAATACATAAGGGACAACTAGATAAAACATCTGGATTCCAGACTATGAAAACAATTGATATGGCAACATTATGAATATAATAATGTATGAAAATCTTTATAGGCGTTTACAAGAAGATAATATAGTAGATAAGTTTTAAAATTGTCTAAATTATAATTTTAATATAGAATTATAGAAAAACGTTAATGAGCGTTAGTTTACATACATAGGTAGGTCAAGACATTATTTTTTTTAATCGCATCATTGTGGGCCTTTTAGATTAAGTATAGTAATAAAATACGTTTTTTTGTCAACACATAAGTAGTCTTAGGTATTGATGATAATATAAAAAATACATATTTATGTTGCCCGAATTTTAAAGGAACCACGGAAAGGTACCTAAATGTTGATTAATATTGGATAGGTTGATATACCTATTGATTTTCATCAACTGCGAGAAACGCGTACAAAGAACTACTTAAATATAAAAGGATGATGGATGAGGCATTTATATATCGACAGTTTGGGTTTAGATGCAGAAAACACAACATTTATAGGTTTATATTACTAAGGGTTGCCTCGTTTTGCGATTAAACAGAATCTCGATGTTTATTGAGATCGATTACATGGTAAAATAGTACGGTATTGTATTCAATACAGCTGACAAACATGAGAATTTTGCAGCTATCCAGTTATGAAAAGATTTTCTTCAGCTATCTTTTAAAACTTGCGTTGTTTCATTTCATCCAAAATTCTATTTGATCGCAGAAAGGGACAGAATCGATAAACATTAAACACATCTTGTCTTTTTTTTATCACATAACAACAATATTAAATAATTACACATTATTACAGCTTAGTCACCACAGAGAATGCCCGTTTTGGAAGTTTATTTGTTACCAGCGCCGCATCTGAGGGAAATTCAGCCTTTTTTCAATCAAGTTAGATACATTTTTATTTATTCATGGCTTTATTTAAATACACGATTCATATTATATTTATTTTTGCAATATAGATACGTATTGCGTTATGTGATTAGGTGTATTTTCCTTTATCAAAATAAACTGAATTTCTCCCAGGTCCTACATACTTTGTCAGAAAAACTCACTTCTTTCAGTTTCATATCGTATTTTTGGAAGAATATTGAAAGGTAACACTTAAAAGTTATATTTTTACTGTTCAAGAATGATTTTTCGTTTTATATTGGCACCATATTTGTTTTTAAATTACGTTATTATTTATATTTTTGTGCCTTTTTAATTGGTTAAATGGAATGTAAAAGGTTAGCAATATTTGACACTTGCATATCCTTACTGTCCGCTCTCGCTCCAGCCGATGAGTACCTAAAACTTTAAATTGTGATGTGACGACTTTGATACTTCTATTCTTAGAAGATATCATTGTAGAGATTAATGAATGAACGTATTTGAATATGTTTTGTGTAATCTGCAATAATCTCTTCCAATACGCCACATCACTATACAAGTGAGAGCCATTTTGTTATTTAAAACAATCAGACTCGTACACAACAAAAATATTTTGCTAAAAATACCTAAACTTGTAAATTTTTCATTAAAAAAATCTTTATTGAATCATCTATCTAAAGACAAAACACTAAAATTGTTTTATTTGTATTAATTCTCACTAGTCGCTCGCATGCATTATAAGCTTACGTTTTGTATAAAACTCACTTTATAATGAATAATAAAAAGCATACTCCGTCTCTTTTAAAAAAATCTTAAATACACCCCTCTGTGCCAATAAAGGCTTTTGCAATAAATATAATTTTATACTTTAAACTATTGTCAAAATTGTAGAAACAATCTCTAAATCCTTAGAATAAAAATGTACTTTTATAACACACGTCACAACGTCTTATATTTTTCTTAAATTAATATATATCTAACATAAGTGCACATTTAGTAACGGGAAAGGAACAAGAGGTAAATATGGAATAAGGTAATATGTAGTATGTATAATGAATAAGCACTGCTCGGAACATGCCATATAAATATAGTTTTAACTAACTTTGTTCAAAAAGTTCGTCGTTATTCCTACAAAATTTTCCAATATCATTTCTAAAAGCCAGCAAATACATACTCATTTAAATCTTAACCTTTTGTACAAAGTTAGAAGAAACTTTATTTTACACGCGTCTTAAATACCATTATATTTTCTTTTGACTTGAATTTAACATCTCGCCACAATTAATTAGATATTCATTTATACTTATTGAAAAATCCATGCGCAGTTTTAAAACGCGTTATTTATAATTAGCATGTAGCATCATAGATTTATCTAAAATAATAATCATAATACAATTTTAAGGGCACATTAACATTACTTTCATTTCACACACGAGATTCATATTCGGAGATTAAAATTTAAATAATATTTTAGAAGAACTGGTACTGGGGAATACATCATCACCAATAACCATAATGTCTTTTTCATTGCTACCATTATCCGTAGATATTAGGTTACCTGCCTTTCATAGCGGCATACTGTAACGACCTACGTTTTATATAACACTCTCACATGGGAGTAGACAGCTGGTGTCGTGACCGGTCTACACCTACGTCTACTGTTGTTACTTTACCATCTACAGGTGTTACGCTCTCTACTTCACTATCCGGCATGATCACACACATGAATGACTTCCCACTTGTCACATCTTTCGGGTAAATGGTCATCGGTATAAACCTATCACTCGTACCGTCCACATACGCTCCTAATCTTGAGTAGACTTCGGGGAAATGCTTTTTCAAATTCACTCCTCTACTTTCGAGCTCTTTCGATATGTTTTGGAAACATATTTGTCTAAACTTGTGCGCTGTTGCAGCGTTTTTCTCACCCGCGTTACTTAATTTAGAAGTCAGTATTAGGGTTTCTCTGTCTTCTGGCGTGGACTTACTGTCTCTTCTATGTCGCCTTCTATTCTGTTCTTGTATAGCGGCGGTAACCGATTTACTGAGACGTAGTTTGGCACATCTCGACACCATCTGCCTTTCCCATTTGACAGCACCTTTTGTCGGCACTTCACTGATAATACACACAGCCACATATAAAATTACTCTCGTCTCAGGATTGTAAGCTTTACAAAGTTTGACTACTTCAGTGTACAATTCTACACCCATTTCATTCGGCTGAAGAGACGTCCATTTCATAAATTCCGGTTCACTTAAATACTGGAAGCCGTGCGTGGTGAACTTTTCCGCTGCTTCTGGACTTGTAAAGAATACTTTAACAACACCTCTTCCTAGTGCTAGATAGCCTTTGTGAGCTATGGTGCTAATTTGATGCAAAGCGTCGGCATCTTCTTTGGCCGCTGATATAATTTGTCTGCATAGAGTGCTTGCACGAGTGTGTAAACAAACTTTCCTATGTTTTTCCCAATGTGCCCTGCGGCATTCCTTTGAGCAATACATCGTGGTGCAATTATGACAAGTCTTGTAATGTCGTTTGGCGTCGGGGTATGGGGCTCGAGAAGGACATTTTGGATATTTACACTTGACGAAGGCTTCGTCAGTACTATTTTCAGTCTGCAAAGAAACCAGGGAAGCTCTGGAATCATGGTGAGTTAAGTGAGCATCGGTAGTTCGTAAGGCTGCGGAATCGAGGCTGGTACGCCGGTCGAGAGACACACTTGTTTGGGCAAAGGGCTCACTTCTCCGTCGAGAGTGCTCACCTTGCACCGAACGCGGCCTTCTCGTTTCTTGCATGGCGCCAAGATTATCAACTGTATCCTTGCCTGAAATTATAAAACATATCAATTTTATTCTTGTCCAGTTTGAAGACACGTTCCTTACGCTAGTGGTTTAACATCGAGAAATCTAGTAAGACTCAGAACCAACGTTGAAAATAACACCGGAAAATCAAAATAACAACCATGCCGCGGAGGACATATCATGCTGCCTAGTCATTAAACAACAAGGTGAGATGGAAAAATAACCATTTACACAATACGCCTAGACACTAGACAGGATACCTGGTAAATCCGTCAGATAGCGTAACAGATAGATATTTATAATTATGAGCATAAACAACTGATTACTTATGCTTAGTGTGAAACTATATTTGGACCTAGTATTTAGTGAAGGAGTGATAATGTAATAGAAAAATTGGAACGGCTCAGACTTACATATCGTTCCTACCTGGTCGGTCGTGTTCGGGGCTGTCCGTGATAGAGCTGTGCCCTTCGCTGGGTGTGCCCAGGAACCGCGAAGCGGGGGAGGCGCTGCTATGCCCGCTACTGGCCAGTTGTTCGTACCGAGGACTCTGAGGACGGTTATTTAGGACTGGTAGGACTATTTTGGGTATTCTACCAGTGTCAATTTTTTTAAAGAAATTTTAATATCGCGTTTTATTTGTTTGGTTATACGGCATCGATATAGACAAGTAATGGGTTTCACATTGCATCTATCAGTAAATTGTATTTATTTTTGAATTAGTCCTGATTTATTAGTAATCAGTATAAAAGTGTATAAAATATACCTTGCCACCCATTAAATAATAGGGACTTGAAGCCTTCCTAGGGCTGGGTTGAGGCGTTGGTATCCTCGCTGGCTGTGACGGCAACCCCAAGAGTGAGTCCAACACGTCTTCAAGAGTAGTGGAGCCAGGAGACGGTCGTGTGATACCTAAGTTCAGGGAACGTTGGGAATCTTGCCAGTCTGGAAGTCGGTATCAATGATTTATTAGAATGGACGAAGGACAAGTGCCTATTTCGTGAAGACAATTTTGCACATTGATTGCTTTTGCAACATTTACCCATTAATGTGGTAGGTTTGAAGCGTTGAACTTACCTTGTACTATAATTACTATAACTTTATTTTGATTAAGGAATACCTGGAGAATCAAGCGGACTGAGTTTTGAGGTTTTTTGTAGCCTGATTCGAGATAATCCCTTTCATTTTGTTCAAAACGTATTTCAATAAACGATAGGATAATTGTGCTGTACCAGTTAATTACGAAAGCTGTGAATAATGCCAATAATGTTGCTTGACTTTCTCATAAAGCAATAATAAATGATAACATAAATTAAAGTCACGTACACAGAAATAAAAATAAAACAAAACACATAAAATAAAAATGAATATATTCAATAATCATTATGATTAAAACGTAACTAAAAGTACAATATTGAAATGATACTGAAGACAACATCGTGTCTCCGTCATTAACATGAACAAGGTACCGAGATTCTAACATACAAATATTATACCCTATAACTACGTACTGATATTACATTTTCTTTTAGGTACTTTTATATTTGGAATTTAATGAATTGTAGAGAGCTGCAGTAAAAGCTAGTATATTGACATTTGCCGCCATTTTAATGTTATAAAATCGAGGCGGCCATTATAAAATAGTCATAGACATTTTATTTTTTTATTTTATAACATCCTTTAATGTCGTCTATAGTTCGTGACGCTTTCGTAGTTCGGCGGTGCGAATTTTGAACGCAAAAATTATTTTGTATTTTCTAACCTAATCAGAACCTGTATAATTTACTTAGGAGCTTCGCCCCAACATAAATTACGAGGTGATTTAAGTAGAAGGAACATGAAATTTACTAGATTTCAGACTTATACCGTCACTTCTCACCACCACATCACATTATGGTTCTGATAACTGTTGGTCATATTTAAAAATATATTTATAAAATATTATGTGAACAACATATATTTTTACGTTATTCAAATATTTTGTGACATTTATTAAAGCCTGTATTTACGAATTTAGAACTGAAATATAGATTTGGAAGCAGATAAAATTGTTTTAGCACCTAAAATAAAACATAGCAACATAATATTTTATTTACAAAACTATTTATATTAACTAGCCATTAAACTAATTACTAGAGATTTGCATTAAAATAAACACACAAACAAAAATAATTTAATCTGTACATCGGACGAAACTATTACTAATAGATATTACTGGTTCGTGTCAGATTACTATGGAAATTATAATTATGGCAATATCTAAAACAAAAATAAAATCTTAACTATGACTATTTCATTTATAATCATAATATATTTCATTTAGGTACCAGAATTCATTAATGGAAACTGTATTTCCGTAACAATGATAATAAAATTAATAAGAAAATCTTCTAAAAGAAATGCATCAATAATAAACATTGCATTATAATAATGTACCTTTCATCATTTTTATGTTCACGGTATTATAATAATAATGAACTAGGCGGCTGACATATATACCATACATAATAATATCGGTAAGCTGCAACATTGCTTTAAACTCGTCGGTCAATTCACCGCCATATTGACATAAAATATAAAGCTGCATGTGACAAACACATAAATTAAAAGTAAGCGTCTACAAGCGAGTGCTCTTTTACAACGCAAAAATTATAAACACATTTAAACAATAAATTGATAACGGGAATCCAAAAATAGTGCATAAATTGACACAAATAATAATTAATAATATAATAGGTATAATAATGGTCCTGAGTCTTACACACAGTCTATAAAGCTCTATTACACATAGGTCTTCACAAAATGAATTCGTTCACTTCTCTAGAACTGAACCAGTTCATTTCACAAATAACTAAATACACAGAACAGCACAAAAATTAACGCACAGAGTATTAACGTAACATAAAAATTAACAAAGTGTTGACACTGCAGGTTCGATTTCTTAAAACATAAATGCAAATTTCATGATTTTTCGCAACTATCAAATTCTGTATTGAAAGAACTTGGAAGTTCAAAAACATTGGGTTGGTTTGCCCCAATGGTATGTGAAAACCACGCGTTGCGTTCGTCGTGTCGAATAGTTTCGATGCTAGCATGTCAAATGCTGCTTAGACGGGAATGTGTCGTTTGTAGTGTAGTGGAACCTGCAGTGTATTTGGTGGAGGTGGTGAGTGGTCACGCTCGCTCACCCGGCGCGGCACGGTAGTCGAGGCGCAGTGATGACGGCGGCCGCGGCTGCGTCACGGTCTCCGACACCACCAGCGGCGTCTGCGGCGATTCCAGCGGTTTCGTGCCTGAAACGAGACACATAAAATTTAATTGACTAGTAGATAAATAAGACATCGAGAGTTGAACATTTCTCTAAAGAAATTGAAAATGAATCACCGCCATTAAAACGTCTATAACAAAATTTTCTGTCAAGATTTAGAGGTTTCTAATAATAAACGGATATTAGAATGGTATTTTCCAATAACTATTTCAGTTACCATAAAATAACTGCATCAGTCGACTTTTATTCGAAATCGTGATCGTGACAGTTCAGTTTATTGTCAACATTGTTGAACGATAGTTCACATTATTGTAAAGCTGAAGGTTGTTGAATGTTTCACGAAACAGGTCAAATAGAAATATTGTTGCTGTATAACCGAGCACTCACGAAACTCAAACAAATTAGGTAGATTTTTATCAACACGTAAAGTTGAAGGAAAATTATGAGCTAAAAATTTTGAATTGGTAAAACTAGACGATTTATGAAAAGCGTTTGTCAGAATTTTCCAGCTAATATCCTTTCATCACACTACCGCTGTAAGTTTCTGTTCTTGTAAGGAATTTATAGGAAATTCTTATTACATAAATGTATTTGCATAGTTTCTTACCAACAAAGGAGCTCTCAAGCCAATATAACTTCTGACTGGACCTCGGTGAAGGCTGCCTGTCGATGTCACCATTGGCTGGTTCTAATCCTGACACGTAGTGTACTATCGCTGACGTCACTTCTTTGATTGAAGTCTGGATCTCTTCTGATGCTTTCGACGCTTCAGATGCCTCTGATTTAGGTGTTGATTGAAGTAACGAAGATGCTAGCCTGAAAGATTGATAAAAACATGTAAATGTCTTGATAATTTGCTGACAGACACCAGACACTTTGCAATTTTGAAAGTAAACTTCAGAAGATTTCCGATTTAGGGCTATTTACTCGGTATTAAAATTATTTTTTTTCGAGGTTATTCAGATGGCTTACCTCTCATGTGGTGTCCGCGGTGTGCTGTTGAGCCGCTCCTGACTTCTCCAGCCGAGGTAGGGCTGTCGAGCGCTGAACGAAGAGCGCGCTGAGGGCGAGCACAAAGGACTTGTGCCCCTAATGCTGCTTCGTGTTGACGAGCACGGGGATGTCTGCACAAAGAAAATATAAGTTAAGTAACTTATATTTGCAATTATTTTTTTCTGTCTATAGGTACCTATAGGTAGAATAATGCCTACCTATAACTACCTATAGGTAGAAAAATGTATTGTATATTGATAGCAAGAATTCCAGCAAAATGGGGAAAAATGGGCCACTCCTTAATGGCTATATATATCGTAAGGTAGTAGTTTCAGAACACTCTTTGTATGAGTACCTAAAATATGTCAGATCAATATAATCAGATAGGGGAACTTAATTGCTAATGTGTATTTCCATGCGTATAGTAAAACTAGATACTATAATCACTGTTTGATTGCTGATAACGTAAAAACCTCGTAACTGAACTTTATTTGACAAACAGGACGATTAGTGTCCATTAAATGATAGGATTATCTGATTATTCGGTTATGGAGCTTTAAAGTTATACAAATGGGTCATCAAATAGAAATTATCTGTTAGCCATAGATCTAATATGCGTGTGTAATGTATTTTACACAAAATCCTGTTCATGAAATCTACCTTACGAGTTGTAAAAATCCGTCTTCTTCGATATTTTTTTTGTAATGACCAAAATTGAGTAATTCTTCCCGCCATTAAGATTCATTGTCTCAGCAAGGAAGTGTAGTCACGCATCATTAGTACTAGAACCTATTTTTTTAAACATTTAACTACTGGTCATTTTACGGACGATTGACTGATCGCCATTAAAATTCTAACAACACAATCAAATATTAGTGCGTACAATAGACTCGTTTACATAACAAGAATAAATCGGTGAATGAACCGTTACGAAGAAATGAAGAGAGAAGCCGTATGAAGGTGACGAGCTTCGAAGAATGCAATGTCTTAGACTGTCCTAGGCTTAATTGAGGTTAGTGAACTACTTAGGAGATAAGGCTTTCTTTTGAGATAACCACAACGACTTCAAATATTTGCAATGGGATGTATTGATTAGAAAAATGCACATTATCACGCACACATATGGATCATCAGGCTGTCCCGAACTGTAAAATTTTCTTACTTTACTTACTTGGTTAGAATTAAGCCGGCTAGTAGACCATCGGCCGAAGCTGGTGGTGTGTGGTGACAGCTGGGGTGGGGGTGGTTGCTGGTTCCCTCCAAGGCTGCCCAGCGATGTAGTCTTCGAGTTGAGTCCGCTCCAGCGCGCCGCCGAAGCGGACGCGTCAGACAGGCGTTTGCGGAGAAGGAAGCCCTCTCGGGGCGCTGGTGCGTTTTTGTACCTGAAAATATATAAAAAATATGATTAAGTTGCTCCTGTATAAATGAGATGTTTTAATAATCATAAATTAAGACTATGGTCACAACACTATGGTACATAAAAATGGTAAAGTTGATGGAAGAAAATGTACTAATTTTCTGCTCGTATGACGTGTCCTACAAGTTCCGTGAACCGAGATCCCTCAGGAAGATGGGATCTATATGGATCGTTCAAAATATTTGCAATTAAAACTACGCAAATACGACCCGATAACACTGTGTGTTCTAAAATAAACATATTATTAACAACGTCCAAATCACATAAATATTTGCAGATTTTAGTATGTAAACATAAGTTGCAAACGCAAATAGTTATTTGCAAACTAAAACACGTTCCTAATATTCAATTAAAAGTCTTAAATAAAGGAACGAAGTCAATAGGTTAATTACTGTTTAATTAATTGACAGAAACCGGCTAGATAATGCGATAATCGTAACGGTTTAGCCACGTAAACAGCGTATTACAGGAATTAAAGAGTTGTCAACGTTTTCAAGTTTTATAAGTCGTAAAAATTATACCATAAACGCGACTCACAGTTATGTAAATAACCAGATGTTCCGTTACCGTTAATAAGGATGTATAGAAACGTATTAAAGATTATTCACATCGTAATTATATTAGATAATTAAATAACTTGTTATATAAAAACGTTATAGAGATGTAGGAAATATTCCCAGTATTGAAAATTTTGCAGTTAAGTTTTTACTAAGGTAAAAGTATTGCTCCTTTCAGTTACAGTTGAGAGATGAAGAGGGCAATCACCCGAGCCGTCGCGACGGTGGAGAAAACATGCACTTTTTTGTAATTTGTAAGAAGCCTTCACCATGAGCAACTGAGAGCTTTGTATCAAGCGTGTATGTATAGAGGATACGTAGGTACATATTTTAATTTTGAGTACCGATTTACTAAAATTTTGTAAGTCAAGTTTGAAATTACAAGTTGGGATAAAAATTTATATAGCTAAGTATTAAAGTTATAAGGAATCTTCAATTTCAAAATTATGCTGTCCAGAAATTGTGACTAATGTTTGATAATGTCTCCATTTGCTTTGCAATGGGACTAACAGCATAAACGGGTGACGAGTGGGTGTACTGCAAGTACACATCCTGCCTAAGTATTCCTTAAGGATATGACAGGTACTTTGTTGTATTCTGTAAGTAAAGTGACAAATTCAAATCAACCTAGTAGCCATTATCATAAAGAAGCTTCCATATAAAGGTTAGCTTAGGTCACGTGTAATTCAGCTAGACGAGATGCTATTAGGGTATTGTTAATTACAATAAAGACCGACTAGAGGTTCATTATCGTGAGCCTGGGAGACAGTTATGAGGATTAAGCATGAAACTTGGCCATTAACGCGTATGAACGAACACCTTTTACGTAAACAGAATTATGCCTATGTAATATGAAATGTGATTTTTGAAACTAGATATACTACGATTATTTTTAAACACTTAATTTAGGTATTAACTTTTTTGATTGATTTGATTTTCTAAGTCTAAACGCACGATGAATACAAATCAGCAATTTTGTAGTACATTTTAAAATTAATCACTTACTTTTGTTATTACGTAAGTATAATACGTAGGAACAAGAACTTGTTTGTGTAATTTTTAGTTTTTAAAAAAAATGTTGGTCCTAAAATAGAACCTTGCAGCATTACTAATAAGAATTTGACATAAATATGATCTTTTCAAATGTTTGAATCTGATTTAGAAACATTTTAAACATTTGTCTGTACAGAGTTAAGTGAATCAGTCATAATACGACAGAGATTTTAAAAGTAGTTCGGATAAAGTCGTGCTACAATTCATCGAACGCCTTTCTTAAAGCCTTGACATGATTGGTAGCGAAGCGAAACGTGCCTATAGGTTTAATGCTCATGTTGATAGCTGATATCTAGAAAAATATTGGCTTATTTGCTTTATGGAATTAGTTATGGAGCAAATAATTTATTAGATGCTAGACTAGACGTAATAAAATTTAATAAGATACCTTAATCATAACACGGAATTCATTACATAAATGAATATAGAAATTAGTTGGAAAGCCGTGACTAATCTAGTAAAACATCAAAGTGCAGGTTATATCTGTCATTACCCTACATAGCCCGGCTAGATGTTGATTGCCCTTTCGATAACCTATAGTGGTCTGGCCTATATGTTAAAAGATATGGTTATAATGACTAGAATTAATTTCTCACTCACCATTCCGGCACATTGAGCTTCTGCAACGATCTCTGGACTCGCAATTCGTGCTCAGAAAGCACGCGGTCTGAATTCTTCTGCAGTTCGTTCTCTGGAGGCTGAAACAATTGAAATAATATTAAAATCCAGTCAACTATTTTAAACCATGTACATTTAAGTCAGTATGACTAAAGACACAAAGACAATTAAGTATATACCTACATATTTTTTTTCAAAAAGCATTCACAAAGGCAGGAGAGTACTTTAATTAGCATTTTTAGACATAAAATATAAGTATACGTAATGTTTTAAATGCGTAGGAAAGCAAAAGTCGAGTAACGAATGAAAAATATTACGATAAACCAGTCATGGTAACTTAAATCGATTTATTATTTAATAATATTTACTCTACAATTCTACACAGACTAATATAGTGTATAAAATGCATTAAAATATTTGTTTTCACCTACTTCACGGCGTCATAAAACTTCCTGACTATCGTCAAAAGAATTATGGGCTAGACGATATATTGTTCCAAAAAATGCGGGATCTTTCTGTGATTTTTCATCTAAATTACATTCATATTTGGTTAAATCTACCATTGATGACGAATCAAGCATATGTCCTTGTATTGTCATAGTTTGGTGTATTTTATAAATAGCAAATCTTGCATATTCAGTTTCTTCGTCGATGGAATTATCTAATTCGAAAACCTTAGCATCAACAACATGCGAGCGACTTAATAACTCTTCACTTGTCAAGGAAGATTCTTTGCTGCGTATATTACTATGATTTACTTTGCACTCCATTAATATTTCAGACCAAGACGGATAATAATCTTGATCGTCAAGATTTTCATCAGCGTCCGCAATTATATTTTCTACCGAAGTCGACATCATTATACCTGATAGTCCATAGATAGAATCATACCACGATTCATTACTTTCAAATTCAGCCTTTGAAGTGTTAAGATTAAAGCTGACTCTTCGTTGAGCTTTCTTAAGAGTAGAAGAAGTCGGTAATAAACCGCGTTCATTCTCGGTTTGTAATATTTTATCTCTTTCAAAATCTGCATATCCGGGAATATCAACGTTACTGAGCTCGGAGTGATATTTCGTTGGCTTGGCTATAGAACAGGAAATAATATCTGGTAATGAATCTATCTGTGTGTCTAGTGGAGGCGGAGGTACACTTTCTAATAGTCGTTTGAAAAAATCTCTGACTCTTTCATCATTACTTTTCGAAGGTTTTTCATTTTCGGAACTCATGCAGCTTTTTGTCGAAAGTGAAAAATTGCTACTCCTATTTTCTATTAAAGAAATAGCTCTTCTTGGTTCATTATTAAATGAATTATTCCTTGCAGATCTAATTCCGTTCCAACTCAAACGAGAATGTCTTAAATTACGTCGTTGTGCACAGAATCTTCTCACGCTGATCTTTGATTTCCACTCTTCGTGTTTACTTTGGAATCCGATTAAACTTAAAGAATTTTCGTCATCCGATTCACTTCTGGGTATGTCTGGGTATCTTGTATAGTAATAGTCTCTTGATAGGGGTTTTATAAATATATGCTCTGCCTTAACTTCTTCAAAAGGTTCTAATTCTTCAGTAAACCAAACTGTATCCAAGCACTGCCAAAACCTATTTTTCTGGAGTATCTCTTCTGTGGTCAATAACAGTATTGACACCATTTCACTGAACACTTCACAACACTCAAGTCCAAATAATACTAACTGACTGCACGAAGTTTTCGTTTAAGAAAGATATATTTGTTTTGCTAATTAGTTGTTCATGGTGTAATTAGTATATGAATGTCAAGCAATGTCTAATGACATTTCTTATTTGTTTTATTTATCGTAACACATCTTAAACAAACTGTGAATGAAGAATTTAAATGAAGTAGAAAATGACGGATATGAAACTGTATGAGGTAATTAATTCTAGGAAATTACGTTTATTTTTCTTTTTGGATAAATAAACAAATTATTAAGTAACGGAAGTAGAACATTTGGTGACAATGATTTCCTTGGGGTACGAACTCACCCTGACATCTGAGGAGGCAAGTAGCGCACAAGGCCCCAGCAGTCCTACACTTTCCCAGCAAGTCATGTCCACTAACTGTTCCACTCACGTCCAGTGTCCGCTCTATCCTACACTCGTATGCCGATCTTACAATCGCATCGTGATGCACCAGTAGCTCCGTTATAGTACGTTACGTAAGTTATCATATCACATTCGATATGAAACAAATGTTTCGATTCGATACAACTAAAGCGGCTACACTTAAAGCTACGAGAGCCTCCCGAAGAAGTGAAAGAAGCAAGCTGCAATATCGAAGCGGAAAGCGTTCGCCAATCAAATCAGAATAACGTTGCTTATCGAACGACAAAATCCAATTACAAGACTGAATCGGAGCGACCGCGGGGCTTCCGAGCTTAAGGTCGCTCTGCGGGCCGGTGCCGGGTCTCGAGCTGGGTCTGGCATGCGGTGTTCGGGTCGGACTTACGCGTCGGCCACTGCGGCACTCCGCATCGTGGGACATGGAGGTTGGGTCCGAGAGGGCAGGCGGCCGCGGCGCTGCCTCCCGCCAGACTGAGGCGCGGCGCGTGTCCTTGGGTAGCGCGCATGCTCCGTTCACACACCCTTACTATCAGATTCTAGTGGTTTCAACAATCATTTTGATACGATGACACATTTCTTCTTTGCTCTATTCAAGTTTCGCTTACTCAGATGAAAATGTCTATTGTAAGCATGACTTTCAAGAAAATCATATCGTATCTTAAATAGTTTGAATACATTACTGGTATTACGGGCGTATTGTTAAATTTATTGGAATTCAAAGGAGCGATGGATGTGTGCCACGCCGATAGGCTCAAGGAGGCTGAACAGCTGATGTACACTTGTACGTAGTTTGAGAAGTAGAGTTTTTGTTTGGATGTGGGTGTGGCATTGCGTGACATGTTGGGCCTAGTTAACAACTACCTGTGTCAATATTGTAACACGAGTAATGTTAATTAATCCTTGTTGTCGTTAATTGAAATAAAAAATAAGAACTGCAGTGCAATTTTCGATACGAAAATGTTACGTAAAACATTTGAACGCTTATGGGTCAATTTTCTTAACCACATGTTTGACTCAGGGGTGTAGTAAAAACACATTATTTTAATGGTATCATTACGTTATGATATATAGTACGTTATATTACTCACACATGAAAAAAACTAAACAATCGATTATTTAAGCTTTCATCATAATTACAGTCACGCATGTTTTATATCATTCCAAAACTTTTTGTTCGCAATCATTTTACTCATAAAACACATACCAAAATTTGCAAAAGTTTAATATTGCCCATAAAAATGTGAGGAGGGCGAGTCTGACCTGAATTCAGGACATGTTACGTCCTCACGTAAATACGGGAGCAATGGGACCGTATTTCGTATCTCTGAAGGGTTATGACAAATATAAAGTGTACACATGTACTAAGTATACGACAGCAATTGAGGTTTTGAAGGATATTTCCATCGGAGTGGATGGATGTGGCCCATTAGACCTTTATAGTGTCAGGAATGTCTTATCTACGGAGGAAGGCAGCGGTAAACGGTTTCCTTCAGTTAATGCACCTGATGTGCAGGATGATTGCATTCAATCAAACTCTATTTGTAAATGACATTGGACCTCTTTCGGTGGAACGTGTTTCTAATGGCGTGTAGACCAACATTGAAATGAAAACATGTAGCAAAATAGTTAAAAGTGCTGTACCTATTGGATTTTATAACAATACCAGGACCATAATGTACTGTTATGTTTCCGGATGGCCTTCTTGATAGTATGTTATAAACGACACCTTAACACAAAGGTCGAACTTAACAAATAAATATTAATAATTATATCCGGCGTGACATGCTATTTACACATTAATGCCCTATAAAACTCACGTGGGAAATTTTATTTTTGTAATTTTTGTTCATTCCGGTAATAGGTCATTGGGTCGGTTTTATAATGATTGTACACACGGCTACACATCGAGCTTTACATAACCAGTATAAACTGAACGTTAAATGTGCGGAAAGATGATGAGACGCGATACCAGGATAAACTGGTTTTGTATAGGTGTGTGGCCGTGTGTAGAGGTATTAACACTTTCGAATGCTAATATTCTCACAAAAACAATACAATAAATTAAACGTAGGTATAACACCATATTTGAGAATAAACCGTTCATTCTTCTCGTGTCATCATCATCTATAAAATACTTTATAAATAATACTGACAGATGGCACATGCAAGATGCAATTCAAAAGCAATTTCCAACATTCGCCAGCAATGTCAGTCTCCATAAGCAGAGCCACTAACACAGTATAATCATTTATCGCCCAGCAGATGCGTGATAATGACAGTACGTTTACGTCTTCCTCTCGCTAATAGTCACACCGTGGCTCCTAATTACCACTTGCTTACCTCGTCAGTCTTGTTACATTAGCGTCACCATATGAAGAGGAGAATTAGGTCAGGTACCGATATCGGATTAGTGTGGAAATTGCTTCGGGAATCGGGATCCATCTTGGATTCTCCCGGGCACCATTGCTAATCACTGAGCGACGGCCCGTGTCGGTGGAATCAAGATAAATAAGCGATGTCGAAAAATAATTTTGTTGGCTCGCTCTCGATTTTCGGGAAATTGGTTTATATTAAACTCAATGGGTACGTACTTCGTGGAAAATAAAAGATACACGCGATATCGTGACCAATTTTTATCAGATCTTCCTATGGTTATTATGGGTTAGAAAGTGTAGATACGTTGAGTGGAAAATTGGAATTTAATAAATAATTACATGGCAGGGAAACTCGTTATTTAAAGCTTTCGACCTTAGCTGTCATTCATGTAGATACATATCACCGGTATCAATGTTGTATTGACGTAAACATTGAGTTAAACGTAAATAATCTATCAAAGGAAAGCATGTTACTAACTTACTGGCAATGTTACGTTGAGCACTTTTAAAATAAATCTGCAAAGAATTCCCTCTTTAAACCGTCGAATGAAATCTTATAGATTCCTTACTTATTCAAGCCCACTTACTCAGATCTTCAACTAACGGAAAGTGCTGAATAAACA